CTCATGGACATCAAGGTCTGAGCCATTAAAACTTGCATACCTTCAAACTCATTTGTGAGTAATTTTTAAGTAATTGAAAAGTGTTTAAGTCATTGAAAAATATATTCAAAATAATTTATTTGGGCCTTCTAAATATATAAAACAATCTGAATAACATATAGAACTTTTTAGATACATTTTAACATGAATACTTTTTAAATAGTGGTCAATTGGTGGCAGTTTTCTGTAGAAGAGAATGATACTCAAAGCAAACCATCCTTTGCCTATAACAAAATTGTTCCCTTAAGTCAATTAATGTTAGCTTAACGAGGAACATTACAGAATCACAGAATCACAGAGTCATTAAGGTCAGAAAGGACCTTCGAGATCATCAAGCCCAACTGTCAACCCAACACCCCCGTGCCCCCTAAACCATGCCCCGAAGTGTCACATCCACACTTTTTTTTAATATTTCCAGTGATGATGACTCCACCACCTCCCTGGGCAGCCTGTTCCAATGCTTGACCACCCTCTCAGTGAATAATTTTTTCCTTATATCCAAGCTAAACCTTCCCATTTGCAACTTGAGGCCATTTCCTCTTGTCTTATCGCTAGTTACGTGGGAGAAGAGGCCAACACCCACGTCGCCACAACCCCCTTTCTGGTAGTTCTGGAGAGCGATAAGGTCTCCTCTCAGCCTCCTCTTCTCCAGGCTAAACAACCCCAGTTCCCTCAGACGCTCCTTATAAGACTTGTGCTCCAGATCCCTCACCAGCTTCGTTGCCCTTCTCTGGACACACTGCAGCACCTCAACGTCCTTCTTGTAGTGAGGGGCCCAAAACTGAACACAGGATTCAAGGTGCGGCCTCACCAGTGCTGAGTACAGGGGCACAAACACTTCCCTACTCCTGCTGACCACACTAGTTCTGATACAGGCCAGGATGCTGTTGGCCTTCTTGGCCACCTGGGCACACTGCCGGCTCATGTTCAGCTGGCTGTCAACCAGCACCACCAGGTCCCTTTCCACTGGGCAGCTCTCCAGCCACTCCTCCCCAAGCCGGTAGCGTTGCATGGGGTTGTTGTGGCCGAAGTGCAGGACCCGGCACTTGGCCTTATTAAACCTCATACAGTTGACCTCGGCCCATCGATCCAACCTGTCCAGATCCCTCTGCAGAGCCCTCCTACCCTCCAGCAGATCAACACTAAATAATGACTATTAAATAACATTTTTCTATGTAGATCTTTACTAATATTGATTATATTTCTAGCTTCCCTCACTGTCAATAATAAAAAATGTTAATGTAAAAAATAACTTAAAGATCCAAAACTGCAAGGAAATCAACAGTTCCATAAACAACAGAGGATCACAAGATTAGTCTTTCTTTTCCAAAATGGATTTTTTAACACTGCTATATTGGTAGAAATAAATTAAAAATTGCATCCTCAGAGTCATAGGAAATGATTTACTTATTTCATCTTGAATTATTCCATATTCATAAAACCTCTAAATTTGTCTAGAACACTATATTCTTGGAGTCTAACTATCTAGCATTTTGAGAGGAATTAAATGAGGAAGACTAATCCATGTGAAAAACAGAGACAATATTATGGTATTTTTCTTGATTTTTTTTACTTAAACAACCAATCAAAACCCTGGAAAAAATGTAATTTCTTCTATAATTTCTCTAATAATTATATTAACAAACATTAACAGCACCACAACACTGTCACAATTATAACACTGGCAAGTTTATTCCCTCTTCTGGGAACCCACATGTTTTGTCTTTTAAGTATTGCTTCTATAAGCATTTCAAAGATAACTATCATCTTTTGTGCTTTTTTCTTCCTTTTTTTTTGAGAAACAAATGCTTTAGCTTCACTAGAGAAATAATCAATGAAAGGAGAAAGAGAAAAGAAAATTCTGCTTTACAATTGGCTGTCACTGATCTATAATGTCCCAACAGATCTGAAAAGAGCTGGTTAGGGAAAACAGAAAGAACATAGACTTGATTTCTTTGTGTCCACACAAGCTCTTGAATATAAATCCTCAGGCACAATAATGACCACTTTCTGCCAGTATTGTTTTCTCTCTCTTCCTGTAAAAATCTGTATAGACTTATCCACTTAAAAATAGCTTTTCTAGCACTCTTCTCTTTGCCTTTCCTCCTATCTCAAAACCAGTACAGAAAGTAGGAAGTTAATAAAATCTCTAATAAACAAGAAAAACAAAAGAAAAGGACTTTTTGACACATAGAACAGAGAAATATAAGGTTTCTCTGTAGTCCCAGAAGACCTTAATTTTAATTACTCCAGAGAACCTTGATTTAATTATCAGAGAATCATAGAATAGTTTGGTTTGGAATGCACCTTTAAAGGCCATCTAGTGCAAGTCCCCTGCAATGAGAAGGGACATCTTCAACTAGATCAGGTTCCTTATGTTTGATTAATACAAAAGATGTTCATACATAAGAATGGGCAACAATAGGAAAAAAATAGGCATAAGTCCCACGTATAAATACAGGCTAATGTGGAACAAACACTTTTTAGTCAAAGTGGTTAACATTCTGGAAAAAAAAAGCATGCTACAATGAATAAAAAAAATTGGAAAGATGGAAAAAATGCTAACATTTTAGAACATACTTAGAATATTAAACTACAAAATTTACAGGCAGCATTTTGAGGAATTTAATTATCGGTTTCACTGAAATTAATATTTGTTGCAGATCTGATTCCATTGTGATTTTCATACTGTGAAGTCAAAGGAGTTATGTGAGAGAAAAGGTACCATGATAGGTTAACAATGATGAGATAATCTGGCTTTTGAAAAGACAGCTGTTTTTCCAGTAAATTTAATATTGTTTAGCACAACTAAGCCTACCAGAAACAATTTTAACTCTTACACATAACAATGAGATCTTACTGGATCACAGCAACCAAGATTAAGATTATATGTCATTTTGATTTAAATGCATTCCCTTTGAAGTCAAGGGTAAATCTATTATTGTTTTTAATGAGAGCAGAGTAAACACAATGATAAGAAAAACTTAAAATTTAATTACAAAATTCTCCTTAAATTCTGTTTGGAAGAAACTCCAGAACATGCTGATGTAGGTGTATAAAAAGAACCTGAAAGACAAATTTTGCTTTTTTTGTGGCTAGATTTTACATAACCTGAACAAAAAAGAATAATTTTATTCTTTCAGCATAAGAGAAGTAACGTAGTCTGAAAAATTTCACATGAGAATAATGTTTCATTTTGGATAAATAAGGGCAAATTTAAAATGTGTAAAAGGAAATTGACAATTAAAATTAAAATTGAGGAAAAAAATTATGAAGATACAGAAAAAAAATCCACCATAGATTGTAATTAATAGAAGTAATCTTTTTTTGAAGGTCAGTATATAGGTGGGGTAATCATATTTCTATTTTTATTAATATAATGTAATCAAAAGGAAGTTCTGGGAATAGAATTAATTTTCATTTTTTTCTTCGTTTGGTATCAGAAGCTTATGTTTACTCAAACAACCAGCAAAGCAAAATTTGTAGAGCGGTAACAACTTTTATTCAATAACTTGTTATAGTTGGGGAAAAATGGACATGCTTGTGTGTGGAAGACTAATTACAATTCAAAAGCCAACTGACTGTGGAAAACTAATATTGAAGATTGTGAAATTGTTTTCTAATTAGGACAGAGAAGCATTCAAAAGGCTTAAACTAGTATACTTAGGCTTCAGAACTGTTCAATTTGTTTCAGGAAACAAAAATCTCCATGCATGCTGATGTTGTTAGAAGGAAAGACACATCTTCAAATCAAACATCCCAAGTAGGAGGCTGTATGTATTTTTTCATCTCAAATGTTTTCAAAGGTTTCCACTAGGAAAACTCTTTTAACTACAACCAGAATTCCTTCTCAAAATTGCTAGCTACAGAGGAATGTGAGACTTCTGTTTTTGGACCATGAAATGTTTCCTGAAGGATCAGCAAGGCTTTAAAGAAGAGGTGTACACGGTAGGTAGCCCTGTTCCCAGAGCCTGCGCCTCCCTGAATAGCAGAATTTCATATTTAATTCGTGGCTTTAGGATTCTAACTGCTTCAGCTGAGCAGATAGAAAGCATCAACGTCAAATCTACTGCCACGGCAAAAGCTCAAAGTATCATTACTGCCAGATCAAACCTAAAGGGAAGCACAGATTAAGCTAGTATATTTACTGTGTGAACTTTATTAGCTGCGATGGTCTAATTTTCGTTATTCCACTTGCATTTATTCTGAATTCCGTGTTTGCAGCTATTCTCAGTCATAAGTGGAAAGTCATAAATTGGCAGTTCTAATCAGGCAAAGATGTGTATCTGCAAGCATCAGAAAGAAATAAAATGTAGTATTTTTATGGCTCTTGAAATGTTAGAAGAGGATCTATAGGCTGTTCCAGTTCATCTGTTACATGATGCAGTGAAGGAACAGTATCAATTTTACAGCTTTTCATGAGCTTCCGACATGCAGAAGATGCATTAAACAATGAGATCAGAGCCCACATGCTTAAACTGAATATAAGATTAAGAAAGAATTAGGAAACTTCTTTTGACTCCTATATTTGCAATAAAGCCCCAGTGCAGCCATAGGATTGTTTGGTGTATAATTAGATTAAATGCACAGGCTTCCCCTTCAATAGACTCACTTATAAGATGGATTAACACTGACAAGGCGGTAAAAGCTGAAGTTACAAAAAAGAGTAATCTTGGAGGTTTACTTTTGGTTTTGTTTTTCTTCCTACTGTAGAGCCATAGCTCAGTCATTGTGAATGAAACTTGAATATCCAGACTTTTATACTTCTTCCCTTCAGTAAGAACTAAACTGCCTGTTTAAATGAGAAGGCCATAACCCATTTGCAGACAAGACCTGAAGAGAAAAATTTTATATTACTATCTACTTTTCTCTTTTAAAAAACACAGTTTAAAAGTACTTTAATGTTTCTGCAGTTAAAACTCTTGCGGCCATGAAAACTGTTCTCATATTCCCTCCTGCTCCTTGTGTAGAGCCATTCCTTAATTATCCAGTTCTCCAGGACACATTCATGAGAGCAATACCTGAACTTACTACTCCACATTCACATATTTACGCCTACAACAGCCTGATTTTTTTTCTTGTTCATTGACTGTGAACAGTTTTTATGATTTTATAGGACATAAGTACTTAATCTTTCTCACTTCCAAACTTCTTTAAGTTTGTGATCAACACAGTATTCACTGTCTAAATCCTTGTTCTCATGAAGTTATCATTCCCATTGTCTGATAGAAAAATAATCATTTCACAGTCAATAAAATCCTAAGCAGTGCTGACAAAGTCATGGTTGTTTGATGACTACAACACAGGCACCAGCTCTTCCAATATTTAGGGAAGCCATCTGCAGAAAAAAAGATACAAATTAACTGAACAGGAACAAGACATTGCAAAAGGTTGTCAAAGTGCTGTGTCAACATTATTCTAAAATGGTCAAAACTAATGGGAGTATAAACAACTAAAAATAAATACAACCCACAATATCCTAGTATTGTAGTTTTAAAGTTACTTACTGTAACCTGACGTCTTTCATTTGAAAGTGTGAGAACAGAAAATAAAATAGGTTATTTTAAAGGTTTCATCAACTGTTGATATGCAAGGGGTTTCTATAATCTAGTAGAATAAGAATTTTTGATTATAATACATCTAGCCTATTATAAATGCTTATTTTAGAATAAGATCATGCTTTCAATATATGTACTTTTCTTCACTAACTTTAAAGGGAACATAGGGTGACTAATTTAGATGTAAATATCTACAGTGGTGCAACAAATTACTTTTTCAGAGAGTTTTAAAACATAACAACAGGAAGTGTTGAAATAATCATTTGTTTCATTTTAAGTCTTTAGTATGAATCCAAATCTTTCCAAGCACTACTGTGACATAATAAAATACATTCCTTGTACAACCAAATCACTAGTCCCCAGCTTCATACATTATACCACTATTTGTATTATACCTATTAATTCTTATGTGGTTCAACATTAGGAACACAAATAAAGTTCAACATTTCAAAATATCCATGAAACAGAAGAAAATGGAATTGAAGAATGAAATGAAAACTTCACTCTCTGCATAAAATAAACAAATTTTCATATGAAGGATCTTCAGGACATGATGGTTACAAATTAAAATTCCAGATCCATTTTGATACTTTTAATGACAATTCTTCTGCATGAAGAAAGATGAAAAAAATAAATTTTCTGTAGAAATTTATCAGAACAATAATTTTGTCTGAAAGGTAACAAGATAATACTTCTAATGACTGCTTATTTTGTCTTTTTCCAGTTTCTTAGGATATAATTCTTTCTTTTCTGTCTTCAGAGAAAACTCATGACGTAACACTTGATAAAATACTAGGATTAATTTTAGAGCTATGGCTACCACAGATTCTTTTCAAATAGTAATGTTTTTATGTACAGCTATCAAAATATGTTACAGACAAAAAAAATCAAGACTTTATGATTACCTGTGTCCATTCATTAGTTTGAGGGTCATATGCTTCCATGGTGTTCAGGTATGTTTGGCCATCATAGCCACCTACTGCATATAATTTGTCACCAAGGAGACAGACACCAACAGCATCTCGAGGCATACTCAGTGGAGCCACCATTGTCCATGTATCAGTTTTTGGATCATACCTGAAGAAAGAGAAATGAAACTGAAAGTCCAGGGAGAAGATAAGTGTCAATTCATGATGTTCTTCACTTGGATACAGTACTTTTTTTCTGGGAAAAAAAAAATCCTTTAGCATCCTATCCAAAAATACTCTTCCTAACAGCAAAAAGAAAACATACATATTTATTGTGTTCCCAATTCAAACATCTAAATGTTGATTAGGAACGGTTGCTCAGCTAATCTTTTGGAATAAACTAAGGTATTTGTGGGATAAGGTGTCATAAAAAGAGATTTGAGAAGGATATAAAAGTGATAGCTGGCTATATGTATATTTTTATGTAAGTATTTTAAAGAGGATATTTGTTGTATCATACTAAAATATTATTTCTAAAATTATATTATGCTATGTTTTAATTTCTAAAATTATACTATGCAATGTTCACAGCCAAAAAACCTTCGTAAAAATTCAGGGGATATGCTTAACTGCATTAGAGTTATATTTACATCCTGATATTTGCTCAAGTGAAGAGAGTAGTACTGTTTTTAAGACATAATTACCACAGATTTTTTAAAAGAGGGCAAAATTCCTTTTGTATAATGAGGGTAACTTAAAAATTCAACACTTAGCTTAAACCATTCATTTAGACTTTCGTTAACAAAGTAAAAAAAATAGTTAATTTCAGAAGCTATTCCATTGTATCTTTTTTAGACATCTGTAAAACAGAAATGAATCACCTTTTGGTAGTACCTCTCAGTTTGTTATTAAGGATGTCTGGAGTATTCAATTAAATTAGATACCTCATATTTAGTGGACAAATATTACTATAATAGAATACTGTATCACAGGATGATAGAATTAACTTAATCTGTTCTTAAGCATGCCTACTGTGTAGTAGAATCACTTGAGAATCAGTGGAGAAAATAAAGAATTTAAGGATAAAAATCCTTTGACTGACTTTAGTGATTTGCTTAAATGTAAGGTAGATCACACTTTAGGCATGATAATTTCTCTAAAATAATTATAAAGGAACTCTATGATGACTAAAGATGTTATTTATTTACAAGTCCTCTAGCTACTATATTGTTATATAAAATTAGGCATAAAACCACTTTCTCCTACACCCTTAAGAGACAGTATTAGCTATAAGTTCATTTTTTGGGGGGAGTCAAGTTCTTTCAATGTATTTTCTTGTAGTCTAAACTTTATTAACTAGAAGTTAATAATCCTACAGAAAGTTGTATATATATGCTTTACAGGAAGGAAGATTCTAGGTTTTTACTACAAAGACTGACTATAGGAGCACCTGTAACTATTTCAGTCATACATATTTTCAACAAGTAACTAGTCGAATACAGTTTGAAGTCCCACATTATAGTTGAACAAGGGAAAAATTTTAACTTTTTTAATATAAATATTGCAAAAACAGGGTTACAGTACTTTGCTTGTAACTGGGTTTTGGTTCATAAATATGACCTTCAAATTGGACAATAAAAGAATTGTCTTTAACCTTGATTAAATTGTTCTTGACAACTAAATATATTTTGTGAAAAAATTCTGCTCATCTACTGGCTACTAATTTTTCTGGCTTCATGGGCACTTCTCAGAAAATACAATGTGTTTTTTTTTGTTGTTCAAATTTTTATGTCTAAAATGTCATTAAATTGGTTGGGATAAATGTCTTCTAAAACTTGAGAGGAAAAGACTTTGAAACAATGCTTGGATATGTGGAATGCACACGTAACAAGCCAAAAAAAATTTTAGTTTTTAATAGATTTTTTGCAGGATTGCGTGACTTTTTCAACAGTATCGTATGCCTCTAACTGAAAGAGTTTCCCAACCAGTGAAATGCACAAAGGTCCATTGTATCTTCACCTGCTTAAAGGCAATAATTTTTTATAGACTTTTTGATCACTACTCTTGAATTACAAGGGCCAAGGTGAGGAGGTGCAAATGCAGGGAAACTAAATATGATCTTTGGACTTTTTTTTTCTTTAGAAAATAGGGGTGCAAGGTTAAAGAGAATTCTTACAAGTCAATTCTGTCAACAAAATAGAGCTGCACAAGAACTTGTTTTTTGTAATTGCCAGGAAAATGTCTGAGATTTCTTATATCTTTTCTTCTGCCAAAAACAACTGTACTTTCATCTTTGTAATAACAAGGTATGTCCTAGGGTGAGAAGGGTTATGATAGAAGTTCCTGAATGTAGAAAGAAATCAATTTGAAATCAAGGTGAGATGAAAGGGAAAAACTATAGATCACTGGTTTATATTTTTAATAACTGTCAAGCTGAGAGTAACTAGAAAAGAAAGCTACTTTATAAAATATGCCAAAGTATCTCCAAAATTTTATAATTCTTAAAATGGAATTAGTTATTTTACATTTAAAAAGGAATACAACATTGTACTTTCCCAGCTTGTGAAGAGCAGAAAAGCATAAACATTATTTTAATTTAGAATGCTTGAACTCATAGGAAATCCTTCACAATTGTATCAACCTTAGAAGAGTTCAAACTGTGAGTCCTAAGTACTATTGAGCAGGTTTTTAGCAGTAACATTTTAAAAACACGTATCTGCTCTCACTAGATTTACATAATCTCAAAGATAAATTTTAAAACATTATGTCTGGTTTGACTGTCTCCCAGGAGCAAACTGGTATTTGAATAAAAAACATCTTATCCAGGATGACAAGATGACTGAAGCAGACACTCATTTCCGAAGAAAAGTGACAGTTAAAAAAGATGCCTTAGATATTTACAGAAACTAAAACTTTCAGAGAGATATAAAATAACTTACTGTAATAGACTTCATTATTATTTACTTTGGTTTCCCAAGTTATTGAGATGTTTTTATTTTTTTAAAATGATGTAGTATTTTTGAATGTAAAAATAGACACTAAATCACATCCCAGCCACCTTATATACTTATCGATGACTGGGAGGGCCATGAGAGTTTTTTCATGTTTTAGTGGAGTCCACCAGTTAATTTACATCCACTCTATGCAGGCTAATAGACTTACAAGTTTTGATTTGTTAGTCACAACTTTTAATCTGGAAGCTAACTGCCCATGAAGCACATTATCTACATTTTTTGCTACCAGTGCAAAAATACTTAGACGAGGTATTCTGTATAATGTCATTCAGATATCAGCACATAAAATAGCTTAGGGATCTGTGGTTTAGTTCATTGTTACAATCCCTCCTGAGAAAGACAAATGTGATGGGATGTGGTTTGTCTTCAACACCAGAAAGGTTTTCTTCTCAAAGATTGAAAAATGAAAGAAAAGCTCCCTTACAAGTACCAATAAGCAGAAATAGCTGAAAGAATATCGTACTTACTACTATTGTCACTAGTAGTCTTAATATAAATATATTTCATTAAAAAATTGAGTTATTGTTCCTTATAAATAAAAGCGCATGAGGACAGGCCTTGTAATTACAAGCATCATGGGATTTCTCTGATGAACTTTCCATCTGCTGGAGACAAAGTATTTGGCAGTCTGTGATCTTTGCTTACATACAGTAGAGATTGGAATGAGTTTAAGACTGAGCAAAATCATTTGGATAACATAAGGAGTAAGATTTAACTTATAACTTTTGGATTACATATTGGGTAATCAGTAAATGCCAAGCCAGATTCAGCAGAAGCAATAACTGACATTTAATTAAAAGTTTAACCCCTTTAAAAAATAAATAGATGACTCACTCCCAGCACCTGTCTTTACTCGTATGATATGATAAATCAACTACTCAAACATATTTACTTTAACCTTTGCAATCTGTACATATTTGGAGAGTGTATTTTCCTTGTTCTATTTTAAAGCATACAGAAAAAGAAAAAAGTCAAACTTTCATGAAACATTTGAAGAGTATCTTCAATCTGAATGCTGTAATCACTGTGCCCTACTGCCCTACTAGATATTCTTGAATTTGGGGAATATCCACTTGCAAAATTCAGGGTACTGTAAATACAGTGTATAAGTCTTATATCAGCACAACAGGAAATAGCAGTGTTGCTAAAGGAAGCAGTGTCATGTAAATATCCATCACTTAAACAGTTCTATATTTCTTCTTTGTTCAGCTATGTTTTTAGAGGTACAAAATACTTCTAAACACAATTTATGCATTTTTTTTATAATGTTAGAAAATTATTTTAATTTGCGAAATAAACTTCTGCGAAGTTTAGTATATGACTCTGCAATGTGTAATATTGTGCCTTAAAACCAAAGGTTTCTTAAATGAGATGTGAAGAGTGGATTTTTGTGTCCACAATAATATATAATAGTACTGCGGAAAAAAAAGGAAAGAAAATAACCTTCAAAGAAATTGGTTTCTACAAACCTCTCTGACATTTTTCAAGTAAATATTAATTTGGCATTTCTTGGAGCAAAAACACCTGTTTAATTTTACCATCACTGAGCTGAGAAAATTATGTTAGTGGACATTATTTTGTACACAAAAAATGCATGTATAATTGGATACCTTTCTACATAGTCCAGCAGTCGGGAACAATGATTAGAAGCAGGAGCATCATGACCTCCAACTGCATAAAGAAAGCCATCACATGTAGTCACTCCTACACCTCCTCTTCTCTTACACATAGGAGCACACATATTCCATTTATTTGTGTGAGGATCATAATATTCCATTGAACTTAAACATGAACTTCCATCCCGACCTCCAACTGAATATAACCTAAGAAAATCCACACAAATAAAGATATTAATAAAACAAGAGCTCAGAAGTGTAGAAATAAAATGAAGGAGCATCTGGGTTTTTTTAATCTGACATGAACAAACAGGAAAAAAATAAAATCTTTCAAAATCACACAAATTTCATATGGTCAGCAAACATAGATGATTTTAATATTATTACCAAATTTGCATACTACTTAGCCCTTTAACCAGTTGAATACAAAGGAAGATATTTTCTTTCTGGCAATAGATATTTTTATTCTTTAATTACAGCATATACTGCCAAGAGTGCCATAAATGACATGCAGATTTGTCTCTATAGATTTATAAATCATGTAAGCAAGGTTGCTGCCTTACTTCTCATCATCTGTGAGGTGGAAGTGAAAGTGCTAACTTATAATTGGTAATCCAGACAAACAAGAAATATGCAAACCATTTATTATAGTTTCTCTGTGTTTTTATCATGCATCAAAGTGGGAATTAGTCTGACAACTGCTGTCCTGTATTTTAATATTTTATCTTGTATAATTCTTTAATACTGAATAGATTCACAAGCTTCTAATTCTCCCTTCTTGGGGGGGAAAAAAAAAGGAAGAAAAAAAAAGTACTGTATAAGCTCTGTATGCTAACATACAAGCCATATGGAAAACTGTAGTCAGATTTTGATCTAGTATACAGCCTATTCCACATACAAAACTATTAATGGGACACTCATGTCCAGAATGATTTTTACACATACAATATAGTAGGGATCAAATATGCAGTACATTGCAGAGAAGAATATTGCATTATGTTTTAAACATGGAATTTTAAAAAGTACTACCTCATTTTCAAATATTTTGGTTGTATTGAAGAAAGGTCTTGCCCACACTAACATTAACATGTATACCCAGAAAGTAAGAAAACGATATGCCCAGGCACTGTATGTTGATTTTCTTCATCAGAATATACTATAAAGATTGAATTCTGTAGGGAAGTCATGGACAATTTCTGAAATTTTAAATTTGAAATGGCAAAAACATTGTTTAACAAAAAATGTGTTGTGTTTGCAACTATCTACAGGCAAGAAACTTGTTTCCTTCCTCCATTTATAATGGTTCCCAGGAGGAAAGAGTTCTGATTGTTCTTTCCTGTTATTACCATGCTGCATTCATTCCATATATTCCTTTTGTGGTCTGTTGCCTTTTCTACAATGCCTGGAGATTAACTAATAGAAACACAGGCTATTTTAAAGTCCAACCACTGAGCAAATTAGGATGCAAAAGCTGTCTGTGTGAAGCAACTATTCATTTGGAAGCTTTTACTGTCCTAAGCGCTCCATGAATTCAGAGCTACTTAAATGTGCATTTACTGATACGTTTCATTGGCATGGATGCTGATGAATAAGGAAGTGCCATACTACCACTAAATATGTCACTGAAGCCATAGAACATTTTGACATACAACTGCCTGACAGACATACTTGTGTTCTTACTAAAGTAGTCAGGAAAATCCATACTCCTCTATGAGAGATGTTAAAGCAAATACACTTTTTTGCAACTATTTCTGTGGATTCAGTCCTAAGACGTTTACCTTTCTATATGGTTATCAGATATCTACAGGTAGGATCCAATTCGAGATTAAGACATCTACATGTGAGCGTTAATCTGTGTGTATCTATAATGTCTAAGTCGCTGTTATGCTCAGGGTGGTCAGTTGAGCCTACAACTTGAGTCTCCAGCCACAAACATACTTTTTCTTCAGCAGAGAATAAGGATTGCAGAAGAGCACCAAAAAATTGTAAACGTGTGATCCAAATACATTTGCATGAGTATAAATGTCAATTAAGCATTACACATAGGTGTCTGCAAGGATGTTGTCTTTATTTTCAGAGATAGGACTTCATTCAGCTGCCCATAGACAGTGATCAAGCATCATTTGTGACATCTAGGGTATGGTGGCATTCCCTGCAGGCAGGCAGATATGACAAAGACTACACAGGAGAAACATGGATGTTTGCTGGAGGTCAAGCAGTCTGTCCTGAGACAATTCAAATGGCAGTAGACAATTACATGTAGATAAGTGAATTGATCCCTAAAACTGAAGCTTGAGATTTCCAAATAGATTTCTAAGTAAATATTTGGACATCTAAGCACTTCACACAATTTTAAAAAATGCAAAATAAGACCCTGACCACTAAGAAGGAAGTAAGACTACTAAGTGTCTCTGGATATAAATATTTCAAAAGTTTCAGTTAGCTGTAGAGTATCCTGAATATTCATCACTGGTTGCAGAGTGCTTCTGCAGTCATTTTGGGCCTTTGTGACTATGGATTAGGCAACTTGGCTGAAGACTGGAAGCAATTCCTGTTTTATTAGGTGTCTTAAAGGAATCCATTTTTGCAGCTCTGTCTTTCTTGGTAACAATTTATAGTAAAATTTTCTATAGGGAAAAGTATAATGTATTTCTCTAAAAAAGCCTGAAAACCTGGCATTTCTATGATCAAATATCAGTCCTGCAATTTCAAGGGTTACTCTTATGCCTCTTAACTATATTTAATTTTATTACTGCAGTTACCAGGTACCACCTCTGCTCTGGATGATTTGTTGAAAATACTTCTAAGTAGACTTTCATTTCCATGTGCAAGTACTTTAAGAATTCAGAGAGTAAAGATAATCCAGTAACTCTGAATTTAGAAATTTCAAGTTCCTCAAATTTTTATTTGTTTGTTAATTTCACAGTGTTAATTTACAATATTATCTTAGTAATATTACCTTATCTTAGATATTACTTCAACTAGCATCAAACACATAGCTCATTTTTTTTCTATTTCTCCCAGATTACTGGTGTCTGTAGGCTTCTTGTAGATTTCAACCTTAACAGGTTTTAAGTACCTGCAGTATTGTAAAACTTCTATTTTCAACATTGCATAATCAAAAATAAAGCTTGAGAAATAATCATAAACACAGTCACATAATAGTCATATCTTCATTCATTTTTGGGTGGGAAATATTCTGTTAACTGAATTGCACCTCATTGTGTATACCATCAAAACTGTTGGGATTTCTATTATAGCTATCACTGTTTAGAGGGGAAGATTGACAAGGAAAAGAAAGCATCCAGTACTGAGTACTTTTGTGTCCACTGATCTCAGTGAAAGTTTGCCTGTGGAGATGTTATAGATTTCTATTCCCCAATGATCAGTATTTCAGCTTAATCAGACAATGTGCATAGATATGATTTTAGACCAAACAGTCTCCTCTGAGCTGGAAATCTGTCTTCTCGGAGTTTGGTCATTTCTTTTTGTATTAAAATGGATAGAGATTCCTAAACATTTGTGTGTGTATATATATGTATAAAATGGCTAGAAAATGCAGTAGAGCTTTCAAAGTAGGATACATTAAAAGAAATTGTGACCGGCTGGATCAAAAGCATTTATCTCAGTGTTATCATTACAAACCTTTGATAACTAATCAGAAAAGCCATTTTTAAATTCAGTTTGACAAGCTAACCTTAAAAAAACAGACTGCCTTTGATGTGAGGTAGTATGGCTTGTGAAAACAGTTGAATCATGCCTTTGTTGCCTTTCTTAACAAGGTTTTGCCTTTCAAAATTCTTTCACTGTGACTATCAAAGACCATATCCAGTCTTGCCTAGGCCCCTTTATACCTTTTTCTGCCCTTTCAGTGTGTCTGCAAGAGCAACAGAGAATTACTCTGGCACAAAGGATATATGCCCAGTCGAAGTGAGAGGAAAGTAATAATTTTCATCAGTGCTGGACTTCTGTATTGCTCAATCAGTCCATACCTGATCTAGAAATCAGACTGTAGGAGAGGAAAGATTTCTATTCATGCTGCCTTGGTTATGCCAATGAACAGTACTTCACTGGCAAAAAGAAAAAAATTATGATTTTCTGAATGGAAAGCATTAATGAAATCTCATTTCTGTGTGTAAATTTGGAATGGTATTTCATGTATTTGGTGCAGTGATGCATTAGTGGAGTAAATTAAAAATACATACAGTTTGACCCAAAAAAAAGGGAAGAAAAAAAAGCCATAGAGTAAGTGTCTGCACTTAAAGGAATAGTAACCACTGATAGAAAATATTGAGAGGAAAAACACCTTTTGCATGGTGTTTGCATGGCAAAATTCTACTGCCTACACTAGAAAGCATAGTTTCCTAATAGAAAGAACCTGCTTCAAGTAAATGTAATTCTAATCAAAGTTATATGGGTTACATTATCTCTGCAAGACCAGTGATTGAATGCAGATTCCACCAGTTGGAAATTTTCTTGACTGTATCAGGCTATAAAATAATTAAGGCAAAATAATCTTTGTAAATTAATAATTTACTACAGCATGAGCTTAAGGACCTTTATCTGCTCTCTTATTTATTAAAAAAAAAAACAGTGAATCTGTCATTAAATAAGAAATTGTTATTGAATTCACAAAATTACTTTGTGCTAAACTGAGCTAATGTGTTTACAATATTCATCATCTTTGTCAGTTTAATAATTTTAGACAATACAGTTGTTCCATTTTGTTCTGTCCCAGTATTCATTTACTGCATGATTTTGAAATAAAATATTTTAGAATATCTACACTTTTTTGTAGTTTCTACGGTTAAGGAAGAATATTTTCAACACATGTCCCTTATTCCCTATAGCAGGAGGTAAAATAATTGCCTTTATGTGAAAAGAGTTTGATCAAAAGCAGCAGTTAATAAACAGCACATTTATAAAACACCAGCAGTGTCAAAACTGTCATAAAAGAACCTGAAACAACTTCTACAGGATTTAAATTAAAATATAAATTTATTTATAAGTCAAAGTATATTCAGGGTAAAATATAGTAAGAACAGAGACAAGATTTAAAAAGCTTATATGAAAAAATTCTAAGGCTGATAACTTGTGAGTTAGTCTTTGAAATATGTTTCTCATTCTTCCCATTGCAAAAGGGTTTTATAAAATTGGTTACATTTATAAAACACCTAATAAGTAATTAATATTACCCTAAGTCAAAT